AATCTCATGTTATATGTTTTAATTTGATTGAGCTTAAAAATATAAAAAAATAATTTTAAATTTTATGAGCTTAAACTAAAGGTGTGATAGAATTGGCACAATTTAAACATATCTTAGCTAGGTGTCTAATAGGGTAAAGTTAATTGAGTTGAGGTTCTTATGCTGAAAAAATTTGACAACTTTGAGGGCTACCTATTTATGTATTTGGTCTGACGCAAAATAATCAAGATCCCATTTGTGGGAATACACTGAATTTTGTTGTTGTTTGCCTAATATAAAATAAATATAAATATTATAATAGAATCCTTAGAACCTTTAAAACCCTAAAGTCAAGTTCAAATAAACACAAGTCATTACAATTCGTATAAAACGGTAAATAACGAAAAATTTGACTCGTTTCGAGAAAAATGAGTGGTTGTCACCATTTGTTGACTCAGTTTCACGTCAATTAAGATTGCGTTGCCCGGCGTTCCAAATTTCATACAATTCTGTCCATTTGTATAAGTGCGCGCATCATATTACGCGTCATAGTTGCCAAATATTGATGAATTTAAGTTATATACATCACCAATATAAGAAATATTTTACACCAAAAAGCTATCTAAAGAATATTTATAGGTAAGTTTTTATAAAATATGAGATTTGTAATCTTACAAATACAACATATGACATACTACAACAAATAAAAATAACTTGGTGATGTGAATTTTTTTACACTAAATTGTATATAACTTAAACTCAATATTCATGATAAGGACATAAAAATTTCACAATATTGTGAACTTCAACGTGGAGTTTAACGTCTCGTGATCTTCAACTAATTATGCGCTTCAACATTATTGGGAGTAAGCGCAATAGCATATTTTCAATATTCAACGGCTTGATTAAATCAAGCCTTTGCAATTTGAGAATCTCCCCGTTGAATGACCTATCAATACTTAAAGAGGAAGTTTCGATGCCTAGAGAAGATATTTTAAGAGAGAGAAATGTGGCAAGACGGCTGGTCTAAAAATACTTGAATAATTTGACTGGTTTTTAGAGGGAAAAAAGAAAGAAGAAGTGGGTGTCCCCATTTGTTGACTCAGTTTCACATATATTAAGATTAGTAAATTCCATAGGCAGTATGCAACATTTTCCGCGAATTTAGTGTTAGAGGCGCATTTAATGCTACATGTTTTCTTGCCTAAGTAACGTGTTGTAAGACAACAGCATGTGGTGATAAGGTGATTGGCATATTATCGTACATATTTTGGCATGATCCGGATCCGTTATTATTAACTACTAAATTTTTCTGCGCTTCACACGATTATAAAAAATAATAATAAATTTACGAAATGATCTTGTTGCAAAAATCTTTAGATAAAAAAATAATTACAAATAAAAAGATAAATTACATCTTTTGTACATGTCTCTAAAAATTGTATATGCATTTTTCTAAAGTATTCTATGATGCTTACCATATTTTGAAAAAAATAACAGAAAAAGATATGTGATATACTAAGAAACCAAAAGTACGAAACAAATAATCTTGCCATTCCTCTTTTCTTCGCAATATTTTTCATTTTTCCCTTTTCATTTACTTTCCCATTTTCCCATATTTGATAATATTTTGTAGTACTTTAGTAGACCTTTTCTTTGGTTTTCTAGTTACCTTTTTGTTTGTATTTCTTTGGTTATTTGGAAGTAAAAGTTATAAAGTGCACAAATAATTAAAAAAAGAAATCATTAAATGCAATATATGTATGAGCAGATTAAGCACAACACAAATAAAAAGTTTCATAAATTAATTATTATGTATGAAATTGAATTATAAAAGTGAATCACTTCTTTGCGAAAAAAAATACAAATTTTGATAAGGGGGAAGGACCATGTCTGAGCCTCAATATATATCACTCCCTCTGTCTCAATAAGACTGTCTTAGTTACTATTTGGACAGTCAAAATATATTTTTTTTGACCATAAATTTTCAGATACTTTCTAAATATTTTGAGTTGTAAGCTATTGTGACTTGTAATATTTTTTTTGACCTCACTCAGTTTCTAAATATGTAATATTTATTTTAAAAAATATATTAAAGATTCTATGTCTGAAGTCATACCGAACATTAATTAGTTTGACCCTCGTAATCCAAATCCATACAGTTTTTTCGGAACGGAGGGACGATTCTCTATTTTCACTTTCTTGCAAATTCCGGTCTTCCTTGAGTAGTCTCTTCTTTAATTGTAAAGATCTAAATAATTATAAAGACCTCAATAGAATCAAACTAATAGCTCTTCCTCACCTCATTTGTCCAAAATTCTCTTTACCGTCGTCTAACGCCTCTGTATACATTCTGTTGTTTTCTTTTCTTACGTTTCGCCGAGGTTATTCCAAAAAATGAAAAACTTCTCTTTTCCTTCATTTGTATGAATATTCAATACTTCCTCCAAATTCTTTGCAGAATTCTCATTTGTTTTTTGTTATTCATCATGCCCTGCAACAATTGACTAACATCAAATTTAAGCGGAACTTAAATAAGAAAAGAGATTGTAAAAAAAAAACTTGATGGTGTTTCCTATCAATTTAAAATGAGAATTCACCCTTTTAATTTTTGTATATCTTCTTATTTAGTAGAGGAATCACCATTTCTTGTTCTACTCTATCTAAATTTGTATCAGCAGAATTAAAGAACAAACACTAAAATCTAAACCAGTATGAAAAATTCATTAAAAATGAGGAAAACATGTTAGTTTAACAAAAACAAAAATCAGCAAGGGAAGCTTTTCGAGGATAAAATAGATTGAAATATAAAAGTATATGAATAATTCAAAAAGAGTATTAATCAGTTTTCCATTTACCTACTTAGCAAATACCGACGTCGAAAACTCATCGAAATAAGTAGTGAAAATGGACGGAAAAAGGCCCAGTCTCTTCTTTCAATATAAAACATGCCATTAGAAACCAAAAAGAAAGAGAAAAAGGTCAAAACAAATTAAGACGTAGATGAAAGAGTTCTACTTTATATTTACCTCACCGATGAGTAACTGATGTGGCCTTTTGTTTTCGTAATTAAATTGAGCCTTTTAGTTTGTGGCTTTTGAATTTTTAAGCATAAACAGTTACCATCGTAAAGTGATGCCATTTCAGCACAATAAATCAATACGGCTGTTACATTATTTAATCAAATTTAATAAAGGTAGAATACAATAAATCCTTTAATTAGAAAATAAGGGAAAAAATAGAGTAAAACTCAAAAAAAGAGATAAAAGATAAATATATATGGAGGCCATAGAGAGGCGTCACATCATCTTATCTATGCCTAGCTTTATATTATATATAGATATAGATTACTAGCACAAAAAGTGAATTTCATTTGGTTGGAAAAGAAATTAGGCTACAATAGTTTTATGGCAAAGGAGAAATTTTATAATCTTTAAGATGGATATCCCTTGTTGATTATTATTAAACTTGTATTTAAATAAAAAAAAGGCGTAATGGCTTCTGGGCCACTTAAACTTGCACGGATTTTAAAGCAGATACATGAACTTTCGATTTTCCCATTTTAGCACCCCAACTCGATAAAAATACTCATAATAAACCCTTCCCTCAAAGCGTGTATCTCAATTGCCTGACATGAATACCATATCAGATACTAAGACCATTTATTGTTTGACATTTGTAATATCTAGGTCACATCCCTTTAAAAACCAATTTACCAATTTTTAAATTTTTGTCCTCTCTCCTTTCTTCTTCACCCTAGCTCCTCCAAAATCTTCCCTTCCCCAACCACTATTTTCAATGGTAAAAATTCAAATATGATCAATTCATATCCCAATATATATCTTAACCAAACCTTAATCTAGAAATTAGTCCAAACAAGCCATCAGATCTTCTAAAAAAAATAACGAAACCATTCCGACAAGGTTTCCATCGGAAAAAATAGCATCTCGGTGGCACTCGTCAAAATCAAAATTAACAGACCTCCTCGAGCACCTATTACTTCCCACCCCTGAAAATTTCCAGTAATTTCGTAGTCTCAACCGACCAAAGAAGATCGTTGGAAACGCTATCACCACCATACCTGCCGTCAAACTAAGAAAATGAGATAGACCAACCAATGCTAAAATCATTAGTTTGTCGAGAAATGAAGACTAGCCAAGGGATTGTTCAAAGTCACAATGAAAAGAAAGGAGGTGGGGTGGGGGATCGGGAAGCAACTGTGGGGAGAAAGAAATTGAGGAGGGAGGGGGTTGAGGAAGAAGATATGAAAGGGGGTTACAGGGAGGGATTTAGGTTTCAGGATTTTTTTTATTTGTTTGTCTTTTATTTACTTTTTCTTTTTCTTATTCAGATTTAATATTTTTAAGTTCAGTAATTTGAGTGACGCTCTTTTTCTGCGTGATTAATACGCACTTTGACCATGTCAGCTGTGTTGTTGCCACATAAGCATAGTCAAAGATCAAAAGTATTCATTTATAAGTAATCGATTGAGTTGAAGTGTTAAAATGGAAAAATCAAAAGTTCATATATAGGCTTTAAAATCCAGTGAAAGTTTACAAATTATTCAAAACTTGGGTAAATTTCATGGATGATATTCAAACAATCACAAATTACAAATTATTTAAGAGCTTCAAGGGATCCATTTCCCCAATTAAAAATTACTACTAATGCATGTATATATATGTCATGAAGCTTCAGCTATGGCGGTGAGAGGAGATGAAATGAGAGGATGAAGAAGAAAGCAATTACTGCATAGAACAGAAATTATCACTATTGTATTGATCTGAGTATCTAAGCTACTATTCATACAAGTGTCGATTATAACTAACTCAACTTCTAACTATAGTATAGTGTAATACTAACTACTCTACAAACTGTAGTCTAGTTAAATAGGTGGGGCCTATATCTCTCAACACTCCCCCTCAAGCTGAGGGATGAAATACATTCTTCATTCCTAGCTTGCTTAAAAAGTAGTCATGTTATGGTTTGCAGAAAGCCTTTGTCAGCACATATGTTATCTGTTATGTTGTTCCAATATGTTGAGTTTGAATAAGACCTTGTACTAGCTTTTCTCTTACAAAATGACAGTCAATATCTACGTGTTTAGTCCGTTCATGAAATATTGGATGTGCAGCAATCCAAATTGTTGCCTTACTATCGCAGCATAGAGACACATGCAGAGCAATATCCACTCCAAACTCCTTGAAAAGTCCAACCAACCACGCAATTTCAGCTATTGTGGTTGTCATGCTTCTGAACTCTGCCTCAGCTAAACTTCTAGATATTGTCCCTTGCTTCTTTGACTTCTAAGAAATCAGTGCTTCTTCAAATTTAACTATATACCCGGTCTCCTAGACTTAACACATGCCTCCCAATCTGAATCACAATAGGCTATTAGTTTATTGCAGCTTCCAGTTGGCATGAACAAACCATGTCTAGGTGTAGACTTGATGTACTTCATTATTCTTCCAGCAGCTTCCATGTGAGAAGTCATAGGTACATGCATATACTGGCTGAGTACCTGAACAACAAAGGCTATATCTGGCCTTTTCATTGTTAGGTACAGGAGCCTCCCAACTATTCTTTGATAATTTCCCTTCTTTTCAAGTTGCACATCTTCCGAGTCACTGTTTTTTATGGGAATTTAAACCTCGATTTGGGATCGGATTCTGAAACCAATTGCATATCCGGTATCGGGGGTGAATGGGTAATCAGGTTTTGATCCGAACTTCGAGTTTCAACCAAGCGGACCCGGGGTCAGTTTTTGACTTTTGGGGAAAATATTGGGAAACCTATAATTAAGCATTGGAATTGAGTTTTTTAGCATTTATTGATATTATTAAGTTAATTATGACTAGATACAAGCGGATTGGAGGTGGAATTGAGAGGTAAAGCAGTAATTGAGGTTTGATTGTGGCCGTGGAATCTAGGTAAGTGTTGTGGCTAACTTTAGCTTGTGGGATTAGGTATTATTTGCCATATTTGCTACTTATTAGTTGTTGAGTACGACATATAGATGTGGTGACGAGTATCTATACATTTTTGTCGGATCATAGCATGCGAGTGCGTTCTATACTTATGATAGTTGTGTTTCTTTGTAAGTATTATTCCTACTTAAACTAGTTATTGTTCATGTTAACAAGTTTTACTATGTTGTTCCTGGTTTGGCTATTGAGTGAGTATTGGCTCAAGTTGAGATTTCTATTGTGAAATTAAATGATGAAAGAAAGTTGTTTGATTGTGATGTCCTTGCCGGGTTGTTATTGTTTCTGTTGTTGTTATGGTGAGGAAGAGTGATGAAGCATGAAGGATGATGTCGTGCACATTTATATTATTCATATGGTGAGGAAGAGTGATAAAGCACGAAGGGTGATGCCGTGCACATTTATATTATTCATATGGTGAGGAAGAGTGATAAAAACACGAAGGGTGATGTCGTGCACGTTTCTATTATTGATTGCATGGTGAGGATTAAGAGTAAAAGCACGAAGGGTAATGCCGTGCAAATTTCTATTTGTTGTGTTTATTGTTATTATCGGTTCAAAGTGTTTTAGCCATTTAAATTCCTTTACTACTGTGATTCTTTATGTTGGAACCCCCACAGCATGTTGCCCTTTCCCGTTCATTTCTGCTTAACTTTCATTACTGTTATCCTGTTAGTACATTGATTAGCTGCACAAGTTTATGATGTTTGTCGTATCCTAGTTGTATTTCCTTTAAACAAGTATTTGTAGAAACTCTTAGATGTTCGTGAAATTGTGACACCAGATCATTGGGGTAGACTTGTTTTAGAGTTTTGATCTGTTATAAAACTTATGCACTTTATATTTGTTTAGTTGTAGCTATTATTTTCTTTACTGTTTGAGTTAATAATTAATGTGTAGATTTGTATCTATTGGCTTGCCTAGCTTTCAGGAGTAGCCGTCATCACGATCCAGACGGTGGAAAATTCGGGTCGTGACATTTTCAGATGCCTTTCTTGACCAGTACTTACCGTAGGAGATCCGACAGGCCCGAGTTGATCAGTTTTTAGCCCTCAAGCAGGGAAATATGAGTGTTCGGGAGTATAGTCTCCGTTTTGACTCATTGACCAGATATGCACCATCCATAGGTGCTACTATACGGGATAGGATCCACAGGTTTATATATGGGTTGGCCCCAGAGTTGACCGAGGTATGTTCCACCGCTGCATTACAGTATAGTATATCTCCCGAATTCAGGCATTTGCCTAGAATATAGAAAGGGGTAGGCGTCTACAGCAGGGTGCAGAGAGGACTAACTCAGGGCAGCATGAGAGGATAAGATTTGCCAGGTCTCAGGAGCAGTCTCAGGGTAGTTACAGGCCACAGTACTTCGAACGGCCACCTAGACCTCTGCCATATTAGCTATAGGGTTTCAGGTATGACCGTTACACTCAGTTAGGACCAGGTGAGAGCTATCAGGCATTGGGATTACAGCGACAGCAAGGTTCGGGGCAGACATGGCCATTTCTGCTGCGATGTGCCATCTGCGATAGAGGAAACTTGGGCCAATGCCGAGCCGGTTCCGATGCTTGTTATACATGTGGACGTCCAGAGCATATGATGCGAGATTGCCCAAATAGAGATTCTGGAGGTATGGCACAACCAACAAATTTCGCAACAGGATTATCTATATCCGTGCATCCTTCAGGGCGCGGGTCTTAGTCTTCGGCTGGTAAAGGTCGAGGTAGAGGTAGAAGTTCTAGTTTAGGTGGTAACCGGAATCGTAGCTATGTTTTAGCTGGTTGACAGGACCTAGAGTCTTCACCAGACGTTGTGACAGGTATGTTGACCATTTGCTCTCATGATGTTTATCCCTTGATAGACCCAGGATCTACTTTATCGTGTATTACCCCATTTATCGCGAGGAAGTTTGGTATGGTGCCTGAAATACTAAGTGATCCTTTTGCGGTATCTACACCAGTCGGAGAATCAATTATTGCTAGACGGGTTTACCGAGGTTGTACGGTGGCAGTTTGTGGTCGTTAGACCTCTGCCGACCTAGTTGAGCTAGAGATGTTGGATTTTGATGTTATCATGGACATGGACTGGTTAGTAGCTTGTTATGCCACAGTGGATTGTCGAGAAAAGACATCCAGGTTTCATTTTTTGGGTGAGCCAGTCCTTGAATGGGTAGGTAATACAGCGACACCTAGAGGTAGGTTTATTTCTTATCTGAAGGTGAGGAAAATGATCTCAAAGGGTGCATTTATCATATTGTGCGAGTTAAAGATGTAGATGCTGAAATACCTACACTTCAGTCTACTCCAATAGTAAGGGAATACGCGGATGTATTTCCAGATGAACTTCCAGGTATTCCTTCAGAGAGAGATATTGATTTTGGCATCGATGTGCTTCTAGGAACGCAACCAATATCCATTCCTCCGTATATAATGGCACTTGCCGAATTGAAGGAGTTGAAGGAGCAGTTAAAAGATTTGCTGGAGAAAGGTTTCATCTAGCCCAGTATTTCACCTTGGGGTGCACCGGTATTGTTTGTGTGGAAGAAAGACGGCTCGTTAAGGATGTGTATCAATTATAGGCAACTGAACAAGGTAACTATTAAGAATAAGTATCCACTTCCAAGGATAGACGACTTGTTTGATCAGTTGCAGGGAGCTAGATGTTTCTCAAATATAGATTTGAGGTCGGGGTACCACCAGGTTAGAGTTCAGGAGAGAGATATCCCCAAGATAGCTTTCAGGACCCGATATGGCCACTTCGAGTTCCTTGTTATGTCCTTCGGGTTGACGAATGCACCTGCCATATTTATGGACTTGATGAATAGCCTATTCCGGTCATATTTAGATCTGTTCGTGATAGTATTTATGCAAAATCATCTCTCATAACTGAAGTAAAGGAGAGGCAGTACGAGGACCCACAGAGATGAGTTTCTTATTAAACTCAAGAGGTGTATGGGTTGGTTTTCCTCCTGCTAAGCCAAGTTCAGATACCAATTCTAGGGCATATTTTCTTTGACACATTAGAATACCTTCCTGAGACCTTGGGAACTCAATGCCAAGGAAATACTTTAGCTCCCCTAGATCCTTCATTTTGAACTTCTCCTGCAAATCTTTTCTGACCTGCTGGATGAGAAGTAAGTTGCTGCCAGTTACCAACAAATCATCTACATAAACTAGGATGACTACAAGATCAGCTCCTATTCTTTTGGTGAACAGGGAATAATCATAGTGGCTTTGAGCAAAGTCCATGTCTAGAAGTGCCTCTGTTAGCTTAAGATTCTACTGCCTAGGTTCCTGCTTCAATCCATACAAAGACTTATGTAGCTTACACATCTTTTGATTCTCCCCCTAGATTGAAAAGCCATCAGGAACTTGCATGTAGACTTCTTCTAGAAGGTCACCCTGAAGGAATGCATTATGAACATCCATCTGAAAAATGTACCAACTAGATGCAGCAGCTAATGCAACTACAGCCCTCACTGTGACCATCTTGGCCACATGAGAGAATGTTTCTGTATAATCCAGGCCTTCTTGTTAACTGTAGTCTTTGGCTACCAGTCTAGCCTTATATCTTTCCACTTCACCATTAGACTTATACTTAACCTTGAAGACCCTCTTGCACCATATAAGAACTTTCCCTTGAGGAAAATCAACCAAGAACCATGTGTTATTGTCTTGCAATGTTGAAATCTCAGCTTGCATAGCTTCGATCCACTTTGGATAAGCACTTGCTTCTTTGAATGTTCTATGTTTAACAATAACTGAATATGCAGCAAGAGAAGCCCTGTAGTCTGAAGACAGCTGATTGTAAGAGACATGCTGTGGTACAAGATAATGGCAAGTGGTTTTCTTGGACTGGACTACATAATCAGTTAGCCATATGGGAGGTTTAGAAGGCCTAGAAGATCTTATGAGACCTCAGGAGAGACTGAGGGTGCAGAAGGAGGAATAGAAGGGCTTGGAGCAGAATGAGTACCATAGAAAGGACTAGAAGAAGAAGAAGGCACTTGCTGAACACCAAGAGTAGGAAATCTGAGACAGATACAGGTTGGCCAGTACTTTTTTCAACTTGTGCATCTGTGAACTCTACTATAGGAAATAAGGGAGAGGCTCCAAGTTGCATATGCTTAAAAGGAAAAATGTCTTCCTTGAAGACAATATCTCTACTGACAAAGAAGCCTTGGAGTGTAGATCTTAGAGAATATAGCCTTTTTGAGAAGATGAATATCCCATATGGACTGCTGGAATTGCCTTAGGACTGAACTTATCCCCTTTCTGCACTTTTGTGGCATAACATAAGCTACCAAACACTCTGAGATGTTGTATGGAAGGTATCTTCTGAAATAGAGCTTCAAATGGAGACTTGCCTTGAAGAAGTCCAGTAGGCAATCTATTCAGCAGGTACATTGTTGTAGACACATACTCACCCCAAAATCTCAGAGGTATAAAGGCCTGAAATCTGAGAGCTCTAGCCATATCTAATATAGGCATATGCCTTCTCTCCACCACCCCATTTTGTTGGGGGTGTATAAACATAAGAACTTTGATAAAGAATTCCCAGACTTTGCAATAGAGAATGGACTTGATCATTCACAAATTCAGTCCCATTATCAGTTCTAAGGCACTTGACTGTAGTTTTAAACTGATTTGACACCATTGTAAGAAAGTTCTTCAAAACTACAACAGTATTTGCCTTAGCAGTTAGAAGAAAAATCCAGATATATTTAGAGAAATCATCCGCCAAGGTTAAAAAATATCTCTTGTTGTCATGAGTTGATAGTCTATATGGACCCCAAACATCTGCATGAACAAGATCAAAAATAGAAGTAGAACAAATAGTTCTAAGAGGAAAAGAGAGCCTTGATTGCTTTGAAATAGGGCATAAAGTACAATGTTGATTATCAGTTAGATGCAACTCATAAAGATTTTGTAGTTTCTGTAGTACCTTTAGAGGAGCATATCCTAGCCTCCTATGCCACAAAGAGAAATCATTACATGGACTTGTATTATTTAGGCTAACATTTTTATTTGTGCTAACAATGGTATTTACACTTGGGGATATATGATGTTTAGGAGTTTGTCTGTCTGCAGCCTTGAGGATGTAGATTCCAAGTTCTTCTCTACCAATCTCCAGTACCTTCCCACTGAAGAGTTCCTGAAAGACACAAAAGTCAAGAAAGAGTGTCACCAAACACATTAACTCTTTTGTGATTTTAGACATTGAGAGTAAGTTATACTTGAAATCTAAAATGTGAAGTATATTCTGAATTTTCTTATTTCTGAAGATAGAACAGATTCCACTGTGTGTAATAGAAGCTTGTTCACTAGTAGGCAATTGGACTTTATTTTTATCGTTATCTGATACTTCCTCATAGGAGTCCAATAGATTTAAACTATGCACCATGTGATTAGATGCTCATGTGTCTACTATCCAATTATGATCCACCAAAGTAGACATAAAAGCATGTAGTATACCTGTCGTCCCTGTAGTAGCTGAGTTAGCAATAGGTTCAGTATCTTTGCCCTTGTTTAGAATCTGCAGGATTTGCTGGTATTACTCTGGAGTAAAGTACTGAGCTGGAGCAGCACAGTTCAGTTGGTTCCCTTGTGTTTCTGAGGGCAGATTCCCGTAGTTGTTCTCAATATGATTCATATTGTTGTTTATATTGTTTTCTTGAGCATTAAAACCTCCTCCACTTCTCTTGTTCTTGAAATCACTAGGATATTCATGAAGCTTGAAACAATTTTTCTTTGTGTGACCTTTACACTTACAATAGTCATACTGAATTTGTTGATTTGTTGAAGAAATTCTTGGGTTTGTAACCTCCAGAGTAGCCAGTGTTGATATAACCTCCAGAATTGTTAGATCCTCCATTGTGACCACTATTCTGAGCTCTATTACTCATCATAGCAGCAACTTCATTGTTATCATTAGAACCATACACATTTTTTCCAGTAATCCTTTGGCTTTCTATATTGATTATCATGGCATAGGCTTGGTTTAGGTTAGGTAATGGTCGAGTCATTAGCAACTAATTTTTGGCATTCTCATAGGAGTCATTGAGACCTGTGAGAAACTGATAAAGCTTTTGAAGCTGATAGTGTTTTACGTGCTTCTTTGACTCAGGACAACCACATAAAGGTGGAGGAATGAGTGTTTCATACTCATCCCAGAGTTCCCTTAGTCGAGAGAAATACACAGACATAGAGGATACTCTTTGTATTAAGGTAGCAATTTCCTTATGTAGATAAGCTGCTCTAGATGCATTTACTTTGTCAAATCGTTCCCTTAGGTCTTCCCAAACAGTGTAGGCATCAGAGGCATAGATGACAATACTAATCAAGTTTGGTGCCACAGTATTCATAATCCATATTAACACTATTGCATTGCACCTATCCCATAGCTCATGAAGACTAACATCATAGCTACTTTTTGCAGGTGCCTAAGACAAAGCCTAATTTGTTTTAACCATGCAACACGATTTTTAAAGATCTACTCCAAATAGAGTAGTTTTCATAACCTTGTAGCTGAATAGAGATGAGAACATAACCTTGTGTATCGAATGGGTGAATGTACGGAGGATGATGATAATCGACTCAACTGATTGTACAAAGGTCTAGGCGTTGAACTGATTATCAGTAACTTCTTCATTGATCGTAATTGTTGCAAAAATCGAAGGAAAAACTCTGAGAATTCTGAAATTGCAGAGAAGTGAAGCTATTGACAGTCAATCGAGGCTCAATCGAAAAAATCTCCAAACCCTGGCTTGCCAGGAGTGAGATTCAGATTGAGAATTGGCTCAATTGATCAATTTGACTTAGGTAATACAGAAGAGTCTTAAGAAATCCGTCACAGCTGAGCTCTAACACTCGTTTAATCGGGCTCTGATACCATGTCACGAAGCTTCAGCTATGGCGGTGAGAGGACATGAAATGAGAGGAAGAAGAAGAAAGCAGTTACTGCTTAGAACATAAATTATCACTGTTGTATTGATCTGAATATGTAAGTTACTATTTATACAAGTATCGGTTATAACTAACTCAACTGCTAACTATAGTATAGTATAATACTAACTACTCTACTAACTGTACTCTAGTTAACTAGGCGGGCCTATATCTCTCAACACTACTTGTATAGTCTCATGCGCAAACCCGTCTTACTGTTTACATAAAATTCTACATAATTTAGGAAAAAGTCGACTCATTTTGAGAAAAAAGAGGTATACGCAATTCACGAAAAAATTGACTCGTTTTGAGAAAAAAGAGGTATACGTAATTTACGAAAATATCGACTCGTTTTGAGACAAAAGAAGTGGCTGTCACCATATGTTGAATCAGTTTCACAAATGTTAAGAATTTGATATTTTTATGCCCATCTGGATGAATGTGCTCTTCATGTTGCATGTCTTACTTGGCAATTGCCAAATACTGATAAGGAAACAAATTAAGTTGTCTTCTTGCCTGAGTAAAGTGTTGATCTTTAATTTTTGTTCTAATTATTAACGTAACTTTTTTCTTGGATAGCAAAATGAGGTAATTGGTCATTCACCTTACATCATCATTCTAAATATTTTGAAATGAATGATTTCTAATTACTAATATGAAATCACCCATTGAAACAAACAAATACCAAACTATGAATCTTTTTGGTTTTCATTAGTAAATAACCAAATATGAATATACGATAAGTATTATAAAATAATAAAAGAAGAAGAGTATTGCAGAGCAAAGTAGAGAGAGAATTCTTATTGATATGATATGATTTACATTGGAATAGAACCCTCTATTTATAGGGAGATGGTGACTTAACCACCAAGTAATAAACTATAGAAATCTCTCTAAATATAGACACTCACCATAAATAAAATTCTATTTATAACACTCCCCCTTAAATGTCTGTTCAACAGATAATGTGTCTCGTTAAAACCTTAACTAAATAAAACCTAGTGGGAAAAAATCTAATAAAGGAAAAAGAGTACACATATCTAACAATATGCCTTTTGGTTGCCTCGTTAAAACCCTTGCAAGGAAAACCCAGTGGGACAAAATCTTGTAATAGAAAAAGAGTGCAACACGCATTAACTCCCCCTGATGGGAGCATCAATTCACATCTTTAAGCATTTGCATTCCAATCTTGTGCACCATCTTCAAAAGATCTTTAGTAGAAGCTAAGATGTATTGTCTTCATATGATCTTGTTGGAATCGTCAGTTCAATATCTTCACATAGAGGTGAAAACTCTTGCTATCA